CTGAAGAGGAAAGCTTTTTTGCCATCCACACCGAAGCTTATTGATCTTTCAACTTATTTTTCTCTTGTTTTAATTAATGCTCTTAGCTCTAAATGTCTGTACAGTGAGATAGCTATTGCATAACTAACAAAACTGAGGCTTGGACCACACCCATGTTATTGCTAAATCAGGCTATGTGGCGTGTGCCTCACCTTAAGTCACAGTTCTATGTATTTCATTTTAGGACAAACTATGAAGCCAATAGAAGAAACGTGATTAGCACTATTTACACAATGTTTTCCCTGCCCTGTGAGGCTTTTTCCCTTCTAGTCATCTGCCTTTGTCACATCTCTAGGGGATGCACTGGAATACATTAAGCAATAACAGCAAAGTGACAGCATTTAAAATGTCATTGTTTTGTCTAATTATCCATGTTCCCATCTCAAAACAAAATGGTGTGTAAAAGGCTTTGAGGCATTCCTTGAACTAAGATGGTATTTCTATCACTGAAAGCAATAGCTACAATTGCAGGTGATAATCTGTTATATATAAAAGACAAATAATACGTTAAGCTCACACTTTAATAATGCAGCAAAAGCCTAATCCTCAGTATTTACCATTAGAGTATCTTTTTATACATGTACTTCACAAACTGGTGTGACTGTGAAGTTAGTAGAGATATTGCACTAGTTCCACAAACGGGCTTGACATCAGTTATTTAACCTTTGACATTTTTTTATCATCAACAAAGGCAACTAATTCCACATCACCCAATAAAAGCCTCTTTAATACATTAGAAACCTGGGAGTCACTATCCCAACACCCACCCACCCAGCAAAACATACATGGCTACACAAAAAAAGCACAGAGGCCCTACTGTGGTTGAAAGCTGGCGTTCAGTAAGTGAGGGAGGGCTACACTGCTAAATGGGAGATCCCCCCTCCCTCACCCACACACTGGCTTCTGACGCAAACAAACTTCTAGTCCCTGGTTTACACAGTGCAAGTGCAGTGTGCTTGCATTGAAGCTCAGTATAACAATGGTGGGTTTTGTTAGGGGAGGAAGGCAGACAGCAGGGGTAGTAGACTGAATTGGTTGGGGGCCGTGTTCTGGCACACAGGACCTGGCACAGGGGTCTGAACAGATGGCTGCTGAGCAGCCAGGCTGCAGGGGAATGCTCATCATGCATTTAGAACAGCCGTCGCTCTGAGGGTGACACATGACTAAATACAACGTGCAGTACATAGTCTCAAAATATGGATGGGTCTGACTAATTATTACTGTACTGCAGCAATAGTTCCCTTACTACAGGGAGTGCAGAATTATTAGGCAAATGAGTATTTTGACCACATCATCCTCTTCATGCACGTTGTCTTACTCCAAGCTGTATAGGCTCGAAAGCCCACTACCAATTAAGCATATCAGGTGATGTGCATCTCTGTAATGAGAAGGGGTGTGGTCTAATGACATCAACACCCTATATCATGTGTGCATAATTATTAGGCAACTTCCTTTCCTTTGGCAAAATGGGTCAGAAGAGGGACTTGACAGGCTCAGAAAAGTCAAAAATAGTGAGATATCTTGCAGAGGGATGCAGCGCTCTTAAAATTGCGAAGCTTCTGAAGCGTGACCATCGAACAATCAAGTGTTTCGTTCAAAATAGTCAACAAGGTCACAAGAAGCGTGTGGAAAAACCAAAACACAAAATAATTGCCTATGAACTGAGAAAAGTCAAGAGAGCAGCTCCCAAGATGCCACTTGCCACCAGTTTTGCCATATTTCAGAGCTGCAACATCACTGGAGTGCCCAAACGCACAAGGTGTGCAATACTCAGAGACATGGCCAAGGTAAGAAAGGCTGAAAAACGACCACCACTGAACAAGACACACAAGCTGAAACGTCAAGACTGGGCCAAGAAATATCTCAAGACTGATTTTTCTAAGGTTTTATGGACTGATGAAATGAGAGTGAGTCTTGAGGGCCATATGGATGGGCCCATGGCTGGATCAGTAAAGGGCAGAGAGCTCCAGTCCGACTCAGACGCCAGCAAGGTGGAGGTGGGGTACTGGTATGGGCTGGTATCATCAAAGATGAGCTTGTGGGGCCTTTTCGGGTTGAGGATGGAGTCAAGCTCAACTCCCAGTCCTACTGCCAGTTTCTGGAAGACACCTTCTTCAAGCAGTGATACAGGAAGAAGTCCGCATCCTTCAAAAAAACCATGATTTTCATGCAGGACAATGCTCCATCACACGCATCCAAGTACTCCACAGCGTGGCTGGCAAGAAAGGGCCTAAAAGAAGAAAAACTAATGACATGGCCTCCTTGTTCACCTGATCTGAACCCCATAGAGAACCTGTGGTCCCTCATCAAATGTGAGCTTTACAAGGAGGGAAAACAGTACACCTCTCTGAACAGTGTCTGGGAGGCTGTGGTTGCTGCTGCACGCAATGTTGATCGTGAACAGATCAAAACACTGACAGAATCCATGGATGGCAGGCTTTTGAGTGTCCTTGCAAAGAAAGGTGGCTATATTGGTCACTGATTTGTTTTTGAATGTCAGAATTGTATATTTGTGAGTGTTGAGCTGTTATATTGGTTTCCCTGGTGAAAATAAATAATTGAAATGGGTATATATTTGTTTTTTGTTAAGTTGCCTAATAATTATGCACAGTAATAGTCACCTGCACACACAGATATCCTCCTAAAATAGCTAAAACTAAAAAAGCCCCACTCCAACTCCCAAAAATATTCAGCTTTGATATTAATGAGTCTTTTGGGTTCATTAAGAACATGGTTGTTGTTCAATAATAAAATTAATCCTCAAAAATACAACTTGCCTAATAATTCTGCACTCCCTGTAGTAGTTACTAGAAGTAGCTGGATTCAATACCAGTTTAGCTCCTGGACAAGTCGTCTGTCCATCAAATGGCCACATGCAGAGAAAATAAACACCTGCACTCATTTTCACTTATAAGGTAAATTAAGTATCTCCACCTAAACACACAAAACCTGCAAGTAACAAATCAAAGAAAAGTCACAGCACACAAACTCCACACAGAAAGATTGACAAAATCTCTCAGGCAACAGCAATTACCATGTGGGCTGAAATATAATATTTTTTCTTTTAGTTTTTAGGCAACTACCCTGAGAAGGGTTAATGACAGCTTGGCTTATCGTTTAATTCAGCTTTCTCCACATAATGCAAACCGAAAGTATTCAGTTTATGATTGTAGTCAAACAGTTGAATACAGTTATATTTGAAGAAGTTACCCCAGATGGCTTTCTGTGAACAGTGAACATATTGCTGGAATAGAAGCCTTCACTTCACTGCCCACAGCATAATAGCCAACTAAGACATATTCATATTTAAGATCGTCAAAATGAAGACGCTTTGTGTTTTTAAGGTCAAAGTGTTAATTGATATAACGCCCTTTTTATAATTTCTTTTTACATTTTTTAAAAACATCTCCCTATACTTACATATACTGAGTGTGAGTGTTTGGTGACGTGAAGCATCACCACGTTGGATTAAAAACTACCTATTGGAAACGCTCAGCTTTTTGCCTTGTAGAATGCACTACTAAGATTATTTGGGGGCAACAACTGATAGTAATGGGTAAGTGATAATGTTTGAAATGTTGAAAGATGTCAAGCAGATACAGCATCAAAGCTGAGTAATTAACAGCTCAAAAAGATAAATGTATATTTGGTGAAAAAGCTTGACTGAACTGTGTGGTGACCCAACCGCTCAGTGGGGCATCTCACTTCACCTTTAAAGAGGAGTAGTCAGCGTAGCGAAAATCCGGACAAATCCCAAAGGTCTGCCTCTTCTCAGCAGATCATGGAGATTCAGGCGTGGAACGTTAAGTGTAAGTTATATATAATACATATACCCCCGTCTTGGCTTCAATACACTGGCTCCCAGTAAAAAGTAGAATAGACTTTAAAATACTTTTAATCACATACAAGGCCCTAAATAATCAAGCCCCATTATACATTTGTGATTTAATTACCCCATACAAACCAAATAGATCACTGCGCTCCCAAAATTCGAATCTATTGGTCATCCCTAAAATAAATAAAAATAGAACGGGTGGTAGAACTTTTAGTTACCAGGCTCCTCTCCTGTGGAACCAGCTCCCACTCTCAGTAAGAGAGTCAGATTCTGTCTCGTCCTTTAAAGTGAGACTCAAAACCCATTTGTATAGTATAGCCTATAGCCTAAATTAGATTAAACATGCCCCGACTAGAACAGTCTAAAAAGATGCTGCTATAGGCCTAGACTGCTGGGGGGCATTGCATTTCATTTCATTTCACTTCATCTTGCACTTATAATGAGGACACAGACTCTATGGTCTTACTTTATTCTTCTGTCCTGTCCTATATTCATACCGACCACCATGTATACACTTAGGAAACTGGTCCCACTCTTTTACAGTTCTGCTGCCACTGGTGAACAGGAGGAGCACAGGACTACTGCCACTACCACTACTGCGACTTTTTTTTCCTTCATTGGTTTTTATGTATTTGTACAATGTATGTTCTGATAACATCTATTGCACGTCTGTCCGTCCAGGGAGTGGATCCGTCACCTGTGGTTCTCCCTAAGGTTTCTACCTTTCTCTTTTCTCCCTGTTGAAAGGGTTTCTCTTTCGGTAGTTTTTCCTTACCCTGGCTGACGGTCTAAGGACAGAGGATGTTACCAACCCTGTGAAGCCCCATGTGACAAACTGTATTTTGTAAATGTGGGCTATATAAATAAAATTGGATTTGAATTTGAAGTTTAATATAGCCAAACACCACACCTGAGCTATTGCTCACTAGACATAAAGGCAAAAGAACCCTGTGGTGTTCCTTATCAGCTTATTTCAACAGTCTGCTGCTGGGGATGTAGTCCACAAGGTCAGTCACAGATCAACATGTCTGTGAGCTTACTTACCTGCAGTACTATTTTGGATAAAAACAACCCGTCACATCAGTGCTGTTACCTTAACTATTGTCATTAGTTTTATAAAATATATATAAAAAAGACTAAATAACAATTTCATTGGTATTTACAGTAATATGGTTCATAAAAACACTAAACTAACCATTACAAACAAGGTCAAAGGAAAAGATGCAAGAAAACCAGCAGTGTAACAATATGAATAATTGAGGTAGTGCATTTGACCAGAGAACACTTATTATGTATTGGAGACTGACTGGTTGAGATTCACATGACAGTAATGATGATATGAAGTACTAACAAAAGAAACTGTACTATCACTGAGAGCTGGACTGCTCTGTTCTTAGTTAAAACACAAGCAGGTTATCCGCACACATTTTTGAAAGTCATGATCAGTTTTAATTAAGCTGACCTCAATTACAACGAAAAACCTGATACCCAAGTGTTTTTAATAAAGTGTAAATGTCCCTTTTTCTCACTTTGGTGTATTAATCTGCAGGCACTACCTTCCCCCATCGTTCTCTTTTGGGCATTCACTCAGGCAACAGCGAGGTAAAGCAAACACTACAGTGCACACGCACACACACGCACGCACACGTGCGTCGAGAGACATTTCAAATTGATAACAAGGTCAAAATAAAAAAGCACAACATAAAAAGCGAGAGAGAAGAGAAAACAAAGAACACATGAATCAACAAAAGTGTGAAATAAATATCATATTAGTCTACCCACAAACACAGATATTATACAACATAATAGATTATGGCTTAAAAATAAATTTAACACAAGGTTGCAAGCAGAGTGAAACTAATTCAGTAGCTGACTCTGCATATCCGCTGAGCTAAAAAGCTGATAAGAAGATGGACTGGAGCCACACAGCACCAGCTACAGTGAAGGAGTGGATGGATGAAAGCATTACCCAATTTGGTTTGGATGCTCTAGGGTACCAGCCATGTAGTTTACATTTCCCCAAGGAGCCAACCCACCGTCTGGCTGCACCCTCACAAAAATAGGAAACAACAGTTGGAGCTGTTGCGTTTAACTAATTTGACTCTTGGTCCTCTGATGTAGCTAGGTTTTACACACAACAAAACTCAGTTTATGTTTGTGGATGCTGATGTGTCGGTCGAAACTTTACTAATAATTATGCCCTTTAGGGAAGGTAAAAAGCAGCGTCAAAGTATCTTCAATTTACATACAACACTCTTCTAAATAATGTGCCAGATTACCAGGCTTTACAGCACAAAACAAATATAAAACTATCTACCTGAAAATGTTCTTACAGCACTGTAGACAGTTGTGAATATAGTCTGAGTATTTTAAACTTGCATTTCAATAACACTATCCATTCCTTCAAAAAATTAGCCAGACTTTTTGATAGTAATCCAAGATTGGCTCTACTTGAGCAGACACAAGGGCATTAATAGCTGGCCAGCAGCAGTATTTTGAAAATAACATAATATTATTAGTTCTACAGAAATTCACTCTAATAACAGCTTAGAGTTATGCCAGCTAATGGCAAAACATTGTTAATGTTGTCTTTGTTAATGAATGAGGGAATCCAAAATGGGCATTTGATTGCCCTCTGCTAGATCACATGACCATTAAATCAGATGAAGGGTTCTTGAATGTTTCTGAACATGTAGATAACAACACTCAAAGTACTGTAAGTCAGACCACACAGGGTTGTCTAGTTAGTCAATGTCCTGTTTCTTACTCCACAGCCTCTGCATGTGTGTTCCTCCTGAAAGAGCAACTCCATGGTGGTTTAAGTCTCACTCTGACTACTACACAGTGGTTCAGGCCATGGTTAACTTTGTATATCAGTGTGCCAGGGAACACCCGCAGGCCACAAAGCACCTGTTGTATGAAGAACCTCTCCATTAGTCCACCCACTAAAAGAGTCAGAATCATATGACACAAGTCTTTGGGGACAGATAAAAAAGATCAAGATTCTTGTTTCTTCTCCCGAGTAGGAAAACCAATTACAATGGAGGCTGTGAAATGCAAGGGAATGTCAGCAAGTACGCAGGGAGGAACACTGGCCAAACAAGAAGGACAAGATCAGCGTGATACGAACACACACGCACGCACACACACAGAGACTTCAATGAGGAATGAATAGTGAGTGTGTTTATGCATGGCACTGGACAGACAAGGGTGACTTTCAGTCTTCCTGTCACATTCCTTAACATTAGAATGAGAAGTTCAAATTGAACCTTTTGTCAGGAAATGTGTAAAAGAAAAAGAACTAGAAAAACAGCTGTAGGCATTAGTCATGTAATCAACGACTGCTTATTTTTATTTTCCAAATCCCTGACAGTAAAAAAAAGGAAATTTTTGGTTTGTGAACAGATGTCAATAAGGGATTTTGTACAAACTTTTGGGATCAAATGGATAGGTTAGCAATCAAAAAATTACCTGAAAATCTATCAAATAATGAATTTAGCTTATGTAGTCCCATTAGCAGGTGGGGTCAACATAGGAAAAAGATAAATTAGTCATTGACTTGTTTTTTTACTTTTGAAGGTTTCCAGCGAGTTCTTGTAGCATAAAATCAGGTTCCCCAATATAGGCCACTGGCAGATTAACATGTTATCTATTGCTTTCTTCTAATTGTAAATGGAAACCAGGGTCAGATTCTTTATCGAGTTGCTTAAAATACTCACGAAAAATGTTAGAAAGGGTTTTTTAGTATTTTTAGTTGTAAGTATGGTACGGACGTCAATGCTACTGTAAGGCACTTTATTAACCTGTGCTGGATTTAAGTGTTTTAAAAGGACAATTTGACGCATTTTATTATAATGTATGGTTAAACCGTCGTCTTAGTGATCAATGAACAAATGTTGAGGGTAATTTGGTAAGTGAACATATTTTTTACATCGCTTCTTTAAGACTTTTATTATATTATGTGTTGTGGAATACACATTCCAATTGCGAACACAAATATAGTCAGGCTAAATTATGTACAGACGCACGCGTTTTCATAAAAATATAAATGAGAAAAGTACCTGCTGTTTGTCAAAATGATCCCTCTCGGCTCCGAGGTTCGCCTCGGTCCGCCTGCTTTTTACACGCGTGCTAAGGGTGTTCATCCTCCGCCACAGACAAACACCGCTATAGCACTATATACGTCTCCTGGAGAGGTTTAAAAGTAACCAGAGAATGTAGATATTTAAGAGGTGACTTCTTTGCTTTCTTGTAACAGGAGTCAGTGCACCGTACGCCACGGTCATCTCCGGCTCTAGCAACTGTGGCTGCGCCGGGGCGGAAGCAGGAAAAGCAGCACCACCAGCGGCGGCGGAAGACAGCGTGGTTACGTCAAATGACGTGACGGATCCTCCCCTAAGGTGGAGGTGATGATGATGATGATGATGATGATGATGATGAGATAGATAGATAGATAGATAGATAGATAGATAGATAGATAGATAGATAGATAGATAGATAGATAGATAGATAGATAGATTGGTAGATAGATAGATAGATAGATAGATAGATAGATAGATAGATAGATAGATAGATAGATAGATAGATAGATAGATAGATGGACGGACGGACGGACAGACGGACAGATAGATAGCACTTTATTAATGTCATGTCTGTCTGTTTCCTTTTCCCGTTGTCTGCTTTGTGGGGTAATCTGTGGGATCCCACTCACCTGTCTGTAATTAGCTTCACTTGTGTCACCTAGTGCTCCCTGTGTATATATACACCTCTCCCTCACTCTGGCCTAGTGGGATCATTGTATCTGTTCCTGTGCTCAGCTTAGTGTGTCCTTTGAGTTCTTAGTTTGATCTTAGTAGTTCATTCCTTGTCTGGTTTATGCCTTGTTCCTGGTCTTGCGAAGAAGTGAGTTGTTTTGTTGTTTTGGCCTTACACTTGTAAATAAACTACCTGCAACAGAAAGAGTCTCTCCAGTACTGCATTTGGGTCCTGCCTGCTTCCTGCAATGCCCGCACGTGACAATTAATCCCTCGGGAGTTCCCTTCTGGAAATTTAGGATCTGATAAGTTTGTCCCTATCTTTGACCCTCTCAAAGATATCAAACACAGACTCAAAGTTTTAAATTATGGCCATCATAAAATTATGGCCATTTATAGAGAGTAACAAATGTTTGTTTCGCTTATTCTCACTTTTGGGAGATAATTTAAGGTAATTGTATTTCTTTCACAGTTACCCTAACTGTGCTCAATTTAATTTGTTTGTACTTTGTAGAAAAATACCAAATGCCACCTTCCTGTGTATTATTTTATCATATTACTTTGAAATCGGTTACTGTGTTTATTTATCCTTATTTCAAATAGATGGTTTTCCAATAATTGTTATTACCCATGATGCATCGCTTTGTCGGCCATGATGTGTGGCAAAAGACGTGAATAGAAAGGCATAAACAATCGATAATGACAACAAAAGACAAGAATATTAAATCGGCGGAGCTAGAGAGGGTTGTATAGAGATTCACTAGACACAATTACACAGGCAAGATACGTGGACAAGTTGAAATTAATCGATGGAAAAGATCCATACGAAATAAACAAAGCTGAATGCGGTCATTAGGGACAACACAGACAGGAAGGTTTGGAAAACAAAAAGCTAGAGAAGCCAGATTGAGATGGTTTCCAGAGGAGGGACAGTGGATACATTGGTAGAAGAATGTTAGAGATGGAGCTACCAGGTAGGAGACAAAGAGGAAGGTCAAAGAGGAGATATATGGATGCAGTGAGGGAGGACATGCAGATAGTTGGAGTCAAAGTAGAAGATGCAGAGAACAGGGCAATATGGAAATCAATGATTTGCTGTGGCAACCCCTGAAAAAAAAGGGACAAAGCTGAAAGAAAAAGACAAAGAAGAGCTGGATAGTTAGCTTGACTACAAGAGAGGGATTTGCTGGCAAAAGCAATGGGCCTAGCTCTCTCCTCACCATCCTGCACCTGTGAAAGCAAAGCACCCAGACAATCAATGTGCTAGCACCACACTGTTTAGGAGCACATAAATAAAATAAATAATAATAAACAGATAAAGATAACAGATAAACTGAAACAAAGCCTATTCAAAAACATCAAAAAAAAAAAAAAAAAACTAAACCCAAGGGGAAAAAAAGAAGAAGAGAATTCCAGGCC